AAACTTATACTTAACATCAGGAAGAGACAGTTGAAATTTCTACAGAAGGATGCTGAGGATACCATGAACCGAATATGTGAGAAACGACGAGGTTTTAGAGAAAATGGAAACAAAAAGGAAACTTATACTTAACATCAGGAAGAGACAGTTGAAATTTCTACAGAAGGATGCTGAGGATACCATGGACCGAATATGTGAGCAATGACGAAGTTTTAGAGAAAAGGGAAACAAAAAGGAAACTTATATTTAACATCAGGAAGAGACTGTTGAAATTTCTACAGAAGGATGCTGAGGATACCATGGACCGAATATGAGAAACGACGAGGTTTTAGAGAAAATGGAAACAAAAGGAAACTTATACTTAAAATCAGGAAGAGAAAGTTGAAATTTCTACAGAAGGATGCTGAGGATACCATGGACCGAATATGTGAGCAATGACGAAGTTTTAGAGAAAAGGGAAACAAAAAGGAAACTTATACTTAACATCAGGAAGAGACAGTTGAAATTTCTACAGAAGGATGCTGAGGATACCATGAACCGAATATGTGAGAAACGACGAGGTTTTAGAGAAAATGGAAACAAAAAGGAAACTTATACTTAACATCAGGAAGAGAAAGTTGAAATTTCTACAGAAGGATGCTGAGGATACCATGGACCGAATATGTGAGCAATGACGAAGTTTTAGAGAAAATGGAAACAAAAAGGAAACTTATACTTAAAATCAGAAAGAAATCATTTGAAATTTCTAATGAGGAAAGAGGGATACTCATTGGACCTATTGAATGCAAGAGGAACGGAGGAAAACGATGTGTAACCTACAAAAAGAGAACTTATAGATAACGCCAGAGAAGAAATATTTGAAATTTCTAGGGTATATAATGATGATAATAGGGCTTGGAAAATCTGATACTCACAGGACATATTGAAGGCAAGAGAGACGGGGAAAAGCAACTCTTAAGATAGTGAATAAATTAATTTGAGTAAATGGATGGCGGAACAAGGTTTAGGAGAGATAATAAAAAGACCCATTTTATTAAGTGCTATGAAGGACAGGGGAGGAATTCACACTTTCTCCATTAGAATAAAAAAAAAGAAACCGTTGAAATTATTTTAGATCTCCGAAGAACACACTTTTATTCTGATTCTATATGCTAAAGTTCAAAGTTAACTCTGTTCTTACTTTACGAATAGCAGCATTTAAAAAAAAATCCTGCCTGAAAGTCAAACGTCGAAGAACTGATAAAGTCCTTGAGAGAAGACCATTTGTTTAGACAATAGATGACAGCTGAACTAGGGTTGATATCAAGACGAATCTATTTATTTATTTATTTGTGATGTTGTTCCTATCTTTTTGGGGCAGTTTGCCAGTGTGGCACCAGGTGCTGTCGGAGTGGGAATGAAGTATTTATTCTCGAAGCTATTGCTGCTCTGTGGGGCTTCTCTCTAGAATGAGTAGTTTGTACCCGTTTAAACACTTGTCAAGAAAATGTCAAGGGGTTTATTTCTACACAAGCTAACAAAGTGCATTTAGACACGATTTTTTTTTTACCGTTATTAAGAACCTGTCGTAAATTAAAGGCTATTTCTGGCTACTGGTGATCTGTTTTTCAGTCGCCTTCTCCCTATGGAGGTATGAAGTATCAATGGCATATATTAGCGGAATAATTAAAGGAAATAGGACAATTTTAGCTGTGGCGAGCCTATTCTAAAAATTAGAAATCGTGTGCCGTAGTAAAAAGAACTTCACATTGAATCTCCAGTTTTTTTTATAGGCCCTGTCCGTTCAGGACGTAGGCGATCATGGCCCTCCACATCCTCGTGTCTCTTGTAGCTCTTAATAAGATTTGTCTCTTTATTATTTCTCCCAGACTCTGTTCTGCTATCCAGTTTTTCCGTCTATCCGTCCTGTGATTATCATATTTTCCAAGCCTTCCTTTCTCATTACATGTCATAGAAATTCCAACTGCTTCTTCTTAATGTGAACTATAAGTTACCTCTTTGTTTCCATTCTCTCCAAAACTCGTCGTTGCTCATAGTATCCTTGGCATCCTTCTGTAGAACCACATTTCTGTTTCTTCGAGTCTCTTTTAAATTCATAAAGTCGAGATAACATAGAGAGCTCTTCAGAACAATCACCATGAAAGTATTTATAGAAAAGGCACAGAGAAGTTATTTTACAGCAGTGGGAAATTCAGTGAAGCCGAGATGCCAGGTCAGAACCAATGATATTGCAAAATCTTCTTTAGATTTTATCAAGAATCTTTAAATATACAACAAGAGCATTGGGCCATATGTGGTAGAATTATTCAAAGCACGGATGAACGGTAGAATTATAAATATGTAAAATAGATTCAGGAGAGAAAAAGTGCCTGACATGGACACGGAACCAAATTTCTTGGCAGCAGATCGAATAATGGATCCAATAAAATTATTCCACTTCATGTAAGCCGAGAATGTTAATCCAAGAAGGCACAACTTTTATTAAGGATCTCTAACTATAAAGCAGGAGCCCCAGATCAGATGTGAGAGTAATATTCAAAGCATGGACGAGTGGTAGACTTATAGATATGGGTGAGAAAAAATGTCAAGCGCGACACAGTGAACCAACTTTCCTAGCAACAGATTTAGCTATGGATTCGGTATAATCCTTTCAATTCATGTAAGCGGAAAACGTTAAGTAATTTATTTTCCGTTTTTAGCTTCATAAGAAGTAGGTAGTATTATACCCAAGTCGTATTAAACACAAGGAAATACGGTATCTCCTATTAAATACGACTATAATAATATCTCATTGACCGTCTTAGAAGGAAAAGTTTTCGGAATATATCGAATCCATAGCTAGGTCTGCTGCTAGGAAAGTTGGTTCACTGTGTCATGCTAGACCATTTTACTCTCCAGAATCTATCTTACATATCCATAAGTCTACCATTCGTCCATGCTTTCGGAATATTCACCACTCACCAAGGAATGTTTCCTATATTCCATCGAAATGATGGTACCACGGTTCATAGTAATAATAATCGTAATATTAAAAGACGAAGGAAAGTGTGACAATGAGATTCGAAGACGTACTGGAATGGCCAAAGACGCATACCAAACGCTAAGCAGAGTATTAAAAGATAGGAAAGTTTCGTTGAAAACAAGGAAATATCAATCTCCTCAAAGGGGCTCGAGATAACAGAAATTTCGTTCTGCAGAAGGTTGCGAAGAATACCATGTGTCAAACATGTGAGCAACGACGAGGTTTTGGAGAGAATGGAAACAAAGAGGAAACTTTTACTTAACACCAGGAAGAGGTAGCTGTTATTTTTTAATTTATTTTCCGTTTTTAGTTTCCTAAACAGTGAGTAGTATTATACTCATGTTGTATTAAAGAGAAGGAAATACGGTATCTCCAGCTAAATACGACTCTAATAATATCTCATTGACCGTCTTAGAAGGAAACGTTTTCGGAATATATCGAATCAATAGCTAGATCTGCTGCTAGGAAAGTAGGTTCCCTGTGTCATGTTAGACCATTTTACTCTCCAGAATCTATCTTACATATCCATAAGTCTACCATTTGTCCAGGCTTTCGGAATATTCACCACTCACCGAGGAATATTTTCTATATTCCATCGAAATGATAGTACCACGCTTTATAGTAATGGTATAGTAATGATAATAATACCCGTTTCCCTACAAGGAAACTTTGACCAAGAAGCCAGTACTGCTTTCGGTTCAAATTTATAAAAACATTCTCTTAAAATAAATGTTATTTAGGAAAACAGGTTTCTCAAGTCCAGTAGCTGTTATTGATCTTTCAAACTTCGCTGGGCCTTCCTTCCTATGCTTCTATTTGAAGTGGTTATGGACATCCAAAATCAATATGACTAGTGTTGATTTCTATATTAGGTTGGTGCATCAGGCGTTTTTAAACAATATTTATTATGAAAAAAGAAACATAACAATTCAACAATAACATTTTTAAATGATTATTTTGGAAAGTATCATTATTGACACGGATTTTTATGTCCTGAAAATAAAATAAAATTTTTTATTAAAAAAAGTAATCAAAACAGCAATTTTTATTAACAATTAACTCGCCTACAAAAACGCCTGATAATTATGCACCAACCGAATAATAGGAATTCATTCTATATATTCCTGGACTGGTTGCTATCGAAGTCTGCCTTATTATTTGAAATAAAGCTGGGATAAGAGGGAAGGAATAGATAGATGCCTTTACCACGGATATTAATACGAATTCATTCTACTTTTTCCTGCACTGGTTACTATACAAGTCTGCTGTATTATACAAGTTTTAACAAATAAGTCGCCTACAAAAACGCCTGATAATTTTGCACCAACCTAATATTTTTTTCTTCTTAAAGATAACCGTACAAATCAGGAAGTTATATCGCGTCTTGTTTAAGCAACAAAATGAATAATTATGTCAAACATGTCATCCTAAATATACGTTGAAAGACAATAAATGTTTTCTCGGCAATCGGCCGGCTGTCTCGGTTTATCTGTAGCCAAGTGGAATATGTAGACATGTCAATACAGAGCAGCGCAAAACTTCGGCGGAGAGATAAGGACTTTCCTTAATCCTCCTTATCGCTTTCGGCCATTCGTTTGGGGTTTGAGGTTAGGGATAAGAGGGAATGATACTCACAAGGAAAAAACTATTTGACAGCTTAACACAACTTGGCAAGTGGAAAGCGCGGGGGGTGTAGTGGGTCGACAGTCTTGTTTGGTAATTCCTATCTCTCCACCACAGCTTCGAGTTCAAGAGGATTTCTCATTTTTTTTATGTTCCATGAAATGATGGGAAGTGGAAATTTCAAGAAAGGAGGTACTGACTACGCGCTCGGGTTTGTGTGTGTATGTCTGTGTGTGCGTGTGTGTGTGTGTATGTGTAGGTGAGAGAGCGAGAGAAAGAGAAAGAGAGAGAGAGTGCATGGGCGTATGTATGATCATGATTTTAAGTAAATTTTTATTTTTACATTCGTTTGGAGAAAGGAAACACCACATCTATCTATCTATCTATCTATCTATCTATCTATCTAAGGCTGTTCATATCTATCTATCTATCTATCTATCTATCTATCTAACCTGTTCCTTATCTATGTAGCCTTTTCGTTATCTATCTATCTATCTATCTATCTATCTATCTATCTATCTAAACTGTTCCTTATCTATGTAGCCTTTTCGTTATCTATCTATCTATCTATCTATCTATCTATCTATCTATCTATCTATCTATCTATCTAACCTTTTCGTTATCTATCTATCTATCTATCTAACCTGTTCCTTATCTATGTAGCCTTTCCGTTATCTATCTATCTATCTATCTATCTAACCTTTTCGTTATCTATCTATCTATCTATCTATCTATCTATCTATCTAACCTGTTCCTTATCTATGTAGCCTTTCCGTTATCTATCTATCTATCTATCTATCTATCTATCTATCTATCCTGTTCTTTATCTATGTAGCCTTTTCGTTATCTATCTATCTAACTATCTATCTATCTAAATGTGTCCATAATCTATCTGTCACATTTTGCTTGTATCTATCTATATAAATGTGTTCATTATCTACCTATCTAGGTAAGACTGTT